GGAGGCCTGAGGAGCAATACTTATGTTACGGCGGAATTGCTGGAGGAAGTGGCTTCTTATTAGAGGCCTAAAATGAATTGGAGTTAGCCAACTGGAGGGGTGCAGGGTTGAGGGTGGTCTACAGGCAGTGGGGTGGCAGTCGCAATAGCAGCTCAGAGGCAAGCCAGGAATGGTGAGATGGGAGATTTCAGAGGTGAATGGGGCCCTCGTGTTCATGTCTCAGTGGCCAGTGCTACTGACTCTTGCCCTTGAACTGCATAGCCCCAATAAACTATGCCATGTACTTTTCATAGGAGGCCGCTTGTGCATCTCTATCATTAGAGATGCACTTATAAAACTAGAAATTTTTTTTTGCCTTAGGCTGTTCACTAATTCTTAAAGTCAGGAACTATATCTTTTTTTCTTTAATTTTTTAAATCATTTTATTAGGGGCTCATACAACTCTTATCACAATCCATACGTACATCTATTGTGTAAAGCGCATTTGTACATTCATTGTCCTCATCATTCTCAAAACATTTCCTGTCCACTTAAGCCCCCAGCATTAGGTCCTCATTTTTCCCCTCCCTCCCCGCTTTCTTCTCCCTCATGAGCTCTTGATAATTTATAAATTATTATTTTGTCATATCTTGCCCTGTCCGACGTCTCCCTTCACCCACTTTTCTGTTGTCTGTCCCCCAGGGAGGAGGTCACACATAGTTCCTCATAATCGGTTCCCTCTTTCCAACCCACTCTCCCTCTACCCTCCCAGATTCACCACTCACACCACTGGTTCTGCAGGGCTCATCCGCCCTGGATTCCCTGTGTTTCCAGAGGCACTATATCTTTATTCTCCATCAGAAGCTACTGCTATGTCCTTGTGCTCATTAAATGTTGTTTGTTGAATGAATGATGTGCTTGCTTTGTGAAATGAATTACATCCTTCCTGCTTTCTAGGCCAAATATCACTTTGCTCAGGTTCTTCATTATATCCAATGGGTCAATTCAGTGGTGCCCTGAGGGGCTCCTGAGGAGCTGTGCTCCGTGAATTCCTGCTTCAGCTTTTCATTGGGCTGCTCTGGTCCCTCCCTGCCCAGCCAGCACTCGATTGTAATTAATTTTCTTGGTTCTAAAGCCTTCTTTAGGGTGTTCTCACTCCCATCTAGTCTTCAGTGGGCTGAAAACAAGATCGCCTAGCATGATTTGATAAGACTATGACTAAGAGTAATCTCTGAGTTAGGTCCTAAGGGGCCCCCTTATGGGAAAAATGTTGACACCATTTGCACATAAAACTTTTGTTAGCTGCTCAGAGGCCCTCTTACTTTCTGTTCTCACTGCTCCAGGAAAAGTCAGATAATACCTGAGGTGCGAGTGGTCCATCTGTCTGGGGAGCCCCTGCCAGGATTAGAAGAACCGCTGGAGCACTGACTCTGGTTCAAGAGTCTTCTGCTCTCTGGCTCCCTACTTCACCAAACTCACTTTTGCCCAACATAGAAATGCTTCCACCCAGGTTAGTGTATTGGGGTATTAGCTACAAAGTGCAAGCTCTTCTCTGCTAGAGCAAGTTCTATAGACTCTGTACTTGCACCGTCACCTGAACAGGGAAAGAACTGGGAAGAAGAGCCAAGGCCGGCACCAGAATATCTGGTGCACTGGGCTCAGATCCCCTCATTTGCAGAATGAGGGGACAGTATGATATGATTGGGGGGGGTGAGGTGGGATGTTAGGACTCAAACAGATTAGACCAGCATTCTAATCCTCACTCAACCACTAATAAGCTACATGACCTTGGTGTTTCCATTTCCTAGTCTATAAAATGAAATCATACCATCAGGTGAATTGAATAAGATTGATTGTGTGAAGTTACCATGCCAGGCACAGAATAGGCGATCAGTAAAAGAAACCTATTAGTATGAGGGAGAGGAGACGGTATGGTAGTATTCTGACTTTTAGAACTTTAAATGGAACTTTCCTTTGGCAGGAGGAGAAAGCACACAGACTCCCTTCCCAGTGATTAGTGCTTTTGAGAACCTAGGCAAGTCAGCTCTTGGTTGAATACACTTCTTTATCTAGTAGGAGGTAAGAGGAGCTTACCCTTGGCAAAGATCCTGTGCCCCAGGATGGGGAAGAAGAGGGGAGGGGTACCTCTAGGCAAACCCCCGCATCTACCCACAACAAACCCAGTCTGGCAGCAGCAGGAGAGGTTCTCCACTAATGTCCACAGAAGAAACATACCTTATATACTCGAGTATATACGGTACTTGTGGCCAGATAAGAAGTTTCATAATGACACAAAGAATTTGCATCACCTCTACAGATATTGCTCTGTGGGGCCTCAGTTCCCCAGGGAGGACCCCCAACATAAGGTGACCTTCCAATTTATCATCTAAATTGGGGTTCTCTCTGTAGGACAACAGACATAAGTCAAGACTATCCGGGGTGGAAAGAGACCCTCAACCCAAAGGGCCTTAAAAAAAAAAAAAAATCAAACAGAGTATCAGGAATATTCATGTGAGAATAAACTTGGGGGATTGGGGTCCTTTGCCCACACAAAACGCCTGTTCTTACTTTAAAAAAAAAATCTGTATTTTCTTTTATTTATTATTATTAATAAATTATTTTATTGGGGGCTCGTAGAGTTCTTAAAACAATCCATACATCAATTGTATCAAACACATTTGTACATAATTTTGCCATCATCATTTTAAAAACATTTTCTTTCTGCTTGAGCCCTTGGTATCAGTTCCTCATTTTTCCCTCCCTCCTCCAACCTTCCCCCCTCATCAACCCCTGATAAATTATAAATTATTATTTTCATATCTTACATTGTCTGCTGTTTCTGTTGTTAAATCCAGGAGGGGGGGGGATGTTATACATCAGTCATTGTAGTACATTCCCCATTTCTCCCCCTTCTCCCCCAACCTTCCACCTACCCTCATGGTATCACTACTCATTACTGTTCTTGCAAAGTTTATCTGCCCTGAATTCCATATGTCCAGAGCTCTTATCTGTACCAGTGTACATGCTCCCATCTAGCCAGATTTGTAAGTGAGGACTGGGGTCATGATAGTGGGGGTGGGGTGGGGAGGAGCATTAAAGAACTAGAGAAATGTTGTATGAACCTTCGGTACTATGTTGTACCCTGGCTGACTCATTTCTTCCTTGTGACCCTTCTGTGAGGGGAAGTCCAATTGTCTACTGATGGGCTTTGGGTCTCTACTCTGAACCTCATAATTTTCATCATATATTTGTTCTGAATCTTCTGTTGCCTGATACCTGATCCCGTCAGACATCTTGTAATCACACAGGCTGGTGTGCTTCTTCCATGTGGGCTTTGTTGCTTCCCTGCTAGATGGCCACTTGTTTAACTTAAGACTTCAAGACCCCAGATGCTATGTCTTTTAATAGCTGGGCACCATCAGCCTTCTTTGCCACATTTGCTTATGTACCCATTTTGTCTTCAGCGATCCTGTCAGGAAGGTGAGCATCAAAGTGTCAGGTTATTAGAACAAAGTGTTCTTGCACTGAGGGATTACTTGACCCAATGCCCATCTGCTACCTTAATACTTAACATTTAAATATATGTGCGTAGACCCATATCCCTAATGTTATATATGAATATATTTGAAAATGTGCATGCCTATATTTATACCTCCCTAAATGTCTTTTGCCTCCTAGTTCTTTCTTCTATTTCTTTTTACTTTCCTCCTGACCTACTATCATGTTCAACCTTCATTCGACTCTCAGTACTTTCTCTTGGCTACATTGCACTTGATCAAACCCCACCAGGCATTCTATACCCTCCTCACCATCAATTTTAGATCCTGTTCCCTTGTCTCTGGGTTTGTCGGCTTCCCCCCTCCCTTTCTCCCACCTCCTCCTCTTCCCAAGTTCCCCCCGAACCCATCGACCCAGTTGTTTTCTTTTCGGGATTAGTTATCCTGCCTATCTTATATGGATAGGCATGAGGAAAAGAAAAGAAAAAGCCTATAAATAGTCCCCGGTCTGTCTGCTGACCCTTCTGAATGTTTTCCAGTGGGATCTGGTGAAGTGCCACGCCCTGCCCACCGATTCCAAAGTCTAATTTTGGGATTCCTTGAGGCTTGGTGGGCCAGTATGAAGTGTTCTCTCTCTCTCTCTCTCTCTCTCTCTCTCTCCCTCCATCCCTTCCTCCCTCCATCCCTTCCTCCCTGTTAGTTTGCTCCCGTCTGGTTTCGGCAGACCTGCCACTCTCCCCGGGCACAGTGTATTATTTTGCTTAAGGATGAGAAAGCAGATTACAAAATTATACACTTAGTAAATTCTAAGGTTGTATAGTATATATACTACTATATTTATATGTGTTATTTCTTAAATTGCTGATATTATTGATATTTTTCCATTTTTATTGTACTTTTCCATAATTGTTCAAAATTACTTACGCTTATCATCTTAAAATGAACCTTAAAATACTTAGCAAAAGACAAGCACATCTCTCTCTGCTTCCAAGATGTTTACAATCCACTAAGAATAGCCTCTGGCTTCGGTCCTATCCCTCCCCAACTACCTCACTTGTCTCTCTCTACCTGGATAGCTCCTCTTCGTCCTTCAAGAATCTCACCTTCTGGGATCCTCTGTTCATGCCCAAGCTGAGATAAACCCACTCTGGTTTCCTATATCATCCTGTTATACCTTGAATATAACATTTACCTCAAGCATTATACATCTGTTTGTTTATTATCTGCGTCGTTTGTTTATTATCTGCATCTTTCATCAGATTAGATCAGGGAGAATCTCTTATTCATTTTAATGTTCCCAGGACAAATCCTAGTTCATAATAAATGTCAGTAAATATTTGTTGAACCTCTGTGTTACTTCTGATACCCCACACAAATGACCAGGCACACAGTAGGTACCATTGTATATTTTGGTAAGAGGGCAGATGAGTAAGTGAGTAGATTAAAGTGCCAAATGAAACAAGGGAAGGTTGTCCACTCGTGACCTCTGTTACTAATGGAATGTTTATGTCACTGTCCCCTCAGTCCTCGTCACCCGAGAGGATGACTTCAACAACCGGCTGAACAATCGTGCCAGTTTCAAGGGCTGCACAGCTCTGCACTACGCTGTCCTTGCCGATGACTACCGCACCGTCAAGGAGCTGCTTGATGGAGGTGAGGGCAAGGGCTGCAAGAAGTGGGGGTGGCAAGGGAAGAGAAGGCTTGGCAGCCTGGAAATGCCACACCTACGCAGAACCCTGTGATGGTCCCAGAGCTGGATATACATGACCTGTGCATATGTGATCTGCCCTCCAGTGATGTGTGCCTTCATGTGTACATTTGTATATGACACCATCCTATTTGTGCACGTTCTAAAAGTTTTCTTTCGTTGCCCCCACCCCCCAAAATAAAGTCTCCTCTCTTCTCCTCTGTGACCACCAGAGCAGGACTAGTGGGACAATAGTAAGACCCTCCAGGTCACTCCACCAGCCCAGATCTCTGTGACCCCCACGCCCAGCCCGGTGTCAGTCAGGTCCTTCCCATTGCTCACAGTCACGCATCTGTTCTTCTCTGTCATGGCGCTTTTCACCACTTGAACTTGTTCCTGTTTGTCCAGTAATAGCCTGCTCACTGACTTGACTCTGAGCTCCCTGAAGAGAAGAGCCATGGCTGACTTACTGAACTCCATGTCCCCAGCACTGGCAGAGTTCTTAACACAGCTCCAAAGATATTTGTTGATTGAGTGACTGAATAATCTTTTTTTGCCCCCTTCAACTTTTAAATGTTTCTCCCAACAGTTTTATTGCATATAATTCATATATCATACAATTCTCAGTAGTTCTTTACATCATGAAGGGTTGTACGGTCATCACCACCATCCGTTTCAGAACATTTTCTTCAATCATGTAACCCCCTCTCTTTGGAGAGCATCAGTTGTCATTGGAGGGATAGTATGTGCCTTCCAGAACTTAGAAGTGGTTCGCCCCAGTTTCTCCAAGCCTGACAAAGTGCAGCTGGACGGACCCGGGTTTGTAAATGTGAGTGTCCCAGCACAGTTAGCTGTAAGAGGAGAACAGTGCCCTGCTAGATAGTCAGCCTCCCTCCCAGGAAACTAGGACAGTGTGCGTGCTGCATAGCAACCACATCTCTTGATCAACACCGTTGGGAACTGTTGTGCCTTGCTCCAAAATGATAGCCAGCTGAGCAACTGTGAATATGTGTCACTCCCCTCCATCCTGGCAATGATCCAGTCTCCCACTTCAGGGCTCACAATTCCTCTTTGGAGTCTTCCATTACAGGGCTTCAACCATAGTGTTGTCTATTCCAGTTTTTATTGTAATATGTCTACATCTTAGAGATTGAAGTCCATTCTGATTTCATGGCATTAGCCATGACGTAACCCATTCAACGTTCTGGTGCCTTCACAGGTTGAGGC